GCGCTCCCTCTTGCCTGGCTAGAGCCCTCAGCCCCCCCCCCCCAACCCCCCCCTGGCCGGCCTTTCAGCACTTGGGACCCTCTTCCCTCCGTCGCAGGTGGGGGCGAAGCACTGGGGGCTCCCGGGCAGCCTTTGCGGCCGAGGGGGCTGGCCTTTCTGCCTGCGGGCGGCGTGGAAACCCCATAGCAGCCCAGCCTGCTCCCCGTCCTCTGCCAGGCAGTCAGCTGGTGCCCCGGTTGCCCTGAGCAATGAGCCCCCCCCCATAGAAAGGCTGCAGGTAAGGAAGGGGGCAGAGCCGTGGCCGAGCCCTGCCCCCCTTTCTCTGGCCCCAGGGACCCCCATTTTGCAGTTCTAAATGACCCTCTCCCAGGCGGCCCCTGCCCAGGTGCCCCCTCTCCCTCGTCCCTCTGAGGAGCTGGAGAGTGGAGGAGGAGGAGGAGGAGGGGGGCTCCCCCAGATAACGCTCACAGCCGCCCCCCATCTCCCCCTTGCCTTCACTGCTCCTCCTGCCTTGCCTTCCAGGGTCGCAGACGAACCTGAGAGAATCAGGGGACCTGCGCTCACAAGGTGAGTCCCTGGGTGGGGCATCTGTGGGGCAGGCTGTGGGGAGAGCTGGGAAGGCCAAAGGGGCTGGGAGTGGGGTGGGGGGTCGGCTTCCTCGGCCACAGCAGGAAACCTTTGCGAGGATTGCATTGATTTTGAACAGTCCAGTTGCAGGATTCAGCTGGGGGGGGCATGTGGGGGATTGGGCTGCGTACAATGTGTGGGTCTGGGGTCCAGCTCAGTTGGGGGTGGGGGGGTTGCAGTTACCTCTGGGAACTGGTCCGTTGTCTCCAGAGCTTGTTCCCCTAACTATTATCTCCACAGCCTGATGGGGTTCATTTCTATTTATTTATATTGCGCCTTTATTATTCCTATGAGTAACTCATGGCAGCAAACATACTTAATCCTCCTCTTTTCCTGACAACAACCCTGTGAGGTGGGAGAGGCTGAGGGAGGGGGGGGAAACTAAGGCAAGGCTAGAATAATCATGACCGTTGTAGGTTCCCCAAGCCTTAAGCCAGGGCCACAAACCCCGACTAAGCTAAACGTGCCCCCTTGGCATCTTGGCCCGGCTCCCTCTTCTGGGCCTTTGGGGGGGGGGCATCTGCCGCTGGTGCCGTCTGAACGGGCTCCTGGTCCTCCTCGCCCGCAGTTGCAATCTACCTTGGCATCAAAAGGAAGCAGAACCCCGGCTGCTCCGATTTACCTGGAATGTGAAGCTGACCAGCACCCGCTCTGCCGAGGCCATCCTGGCCGCCCTCTGCCAGGCCACGGACTCTGCCAACTGCTGCCGCCGCCAGACGGAGCCCTTCGTCCTCTCCTGCACCCACGGGAAGAGCGCCAGCGAGCAATTCTGCTGCTTCGAGGTGGAGGTCTGCCGGCTGCAGCGGCTGGGGGGGCTGCACGGAGTGCTCTTCCGGCGCCAGGCTGGCACCTCCCTGGCCTTCCGCAGCCTGGTGGCCAAAATCACAGACCAGCTGCAACTCTAGGGTGGCCCGGCCTGCCCCGGCACTGACTGACCCCCTGGCTGGGGGGGGGACAAGGCCCCGGGGCCCTCCCAGCTTCCCTCCGGGGCCCAGCTGCTGCCCCGCCCTGGAAGGTCCCTGCCGGCCTGTCCGTGGTGCTAGGAGGGGTACAGGGGGAGGGCAGGAGGGAGGGGAGAGGAGGGGGGCTGGTGGGGAAGGGCACTGGCCCCTCCTCCGGCCCCTAATTGGGTGGGGGAAAGGCTAGCCGGCCCTCCCTTTCCCGAGCCACGCGGGGGGCACTGCAGGCGAGGCTCCCCCTCCTCCATCTCTCGTGCAAAGGGCAGCCCTGCTCGTGCCCCCCTCCCTCATTGCCCCCCAAACTCCAGGAGCCAAAGCGCTTTCGTTTCCCCAAATGGAGGGGGGGTTGGGGGGCTTGCCCATAGTGCCCCGCCTCCCTTTCCTGGCACCCACAAAGGCTGGCACTGTCCCCCCCACCCCACCATCCCTGGCTCGACTCTGCCTAGAGAGCTGGCGAGAGGAGCTGCTGCCTCCAGGGATTCAAACTTCCTCCAGGGCAAAGGGGGGCCAAGGCGGTCTGGGCCAGCATGGGGGTGGGAGGTGGGGGGGTGGGAGAATAGAGCAGAGTAGTTCCATTGAGCCGGGAGGGGCCACCCGACTGGCAAAAAGGCACTCTGGGCCTCTGCAGCGCCACGTCCAGCCTTGCCTTCAGTGGCAGCGCCATTCTTACCCGACTGGGCGGGCAGCTTGGGCACCGGAGGCCCTCCTGCCCAAAGGCCTGCAGGCCAGAAGGTCCTGAGCAGCGGGCAGCAGGTGGCACCCTGGCGTCTCCGTGCAGACCTCGTGACCGGAACCAAGCCTGCAGCTTGGGGGGAAATGGGGCTGGGGCCACGACCCCGCTTGGGAGGGGCTGGTCCTCCCGAGTGGGCGGAAGGGCCGGGATTCGGACACTGCTGGCCATCTCGCTGCGGTGGCCATGAGTCGGCGATGCCCAGGCAGCTCTGCTCCAGTACCGCCGGAAGGCGGTGCTGGGTGGTGAGTTGGCACCTCTGAACCCTGAGACCCAGCAGTGGGAAGGAGCCGCGGAGAGGGGCTGGCACAGTGGCTGAGCTGCCAGACACCCTGGGCATGGGCTGAGGGTGGGGTGCTTGGCCAGGAGAAGCCTTGGGGGGCCTCGGCGGACGGGCCCAGAGACACAGCTGCTGATGGGAGAGTGGGCCCCTTGGGTGGGGAAAGCTGCACTGCCCCCCTCCCCCCCTCCCGGCTTCCCTTTGTTTACTGGGTGCCCCTGCTGTGACTTCCCCCCTCCCCTCCCCCCTGGCCCCTTGGGTGCCCCCCACTCTGTACAGACCCCCTGTAAATACTAGTCCCTTAGCCCCGTATCACTGGGTAGAGATATTAAGCGCCACCTTTTCACCTCTGGACGATGTAAGTTATTCCGGCCCCAAACGATGGTAGTGTCCAACCCTCAATAAACGTAGAAACTCCTGGCTGCGTTTGCTCCCTGCGTCCCCCGTGTGTGTGGGGGGGTGCTGGCAAGGCCCTGGGTGAGAGTCCTGCCAGCCTTGGGGGCTCCTGGGGCTGCCAAAACCTCCGGGTGGGCATTGGGAAGAGGACCCCCTCCAAGGGCAGCCCTGCATTGAGAGCCAGCCAGCCGGAGCAGCCCCCTGCTCTTGGGAGACCCCCAAAGGGAGGCAAAAGTAGCCCTCTGCTGATAAAGGTGGACTGTCCCTGTGGCTGGATGCTCAGTCTTCACGGCAGAGCTGGCGGGTGGGCTCGGATCCCTTCTGAGAAAAGCCCCTTCCCCAATTAGGAGCCAGCCTTCCCCTCTGCCCTCCCAGAGGCTGTGCCTGGCCTTCATTTGGAGATGACGGGGGTCTGGGCAGGGGGTGGAGGGTGCAGAGGGGCCACTCCTGGAAAACCCAGGGGACTTGGGGGGCCCTACGGGAACTCGCCAGCTGCTTTCCCTGGGCAGCCCTGGGTTCAAGGGCTGGAGGGCCAGATGGAGGACCCCCCCTCCCCCGTCCCCAAGCGCGCGCAGAGAGAAGAAAGGCACGGGGCGCCGGGGGGGGCAGACAAGGCCCTGGGGCCGAGCGTTTGCTTTATTAACTCCGTCCACAGGGGCTCCCCGGAGGAGGAGAGCATCCCAGCTGGCAAAGGGCAGCCGCCCCTGGCCCTCGGAGCCCCTCGCGGGGCAGAGCCAAGCGCCAGGAGCTGCCGCTCCGAGTGGCAGGGTTGGGGTCACCCCGGAGTCCAGGCCCCAGGCTGCCCGGGGGGGTCAGTGGGACCCCTCACTTCTGGGCAGGGATCATGTCGTCGATGGCCTGGCCCTTCTCCAGCTTCTTCTCCATCTCCACCATCAGCTTCACACCGTCCACCACCAGCTGCACCTGCTCCACCTCGGAGGAGCCCAGCCGGTCCGCGTTGGAGATGTCGAACACGGCACCCACAGCCTCGGTGTCCACGCCACCTGGGGGGAGGGGAGCACAGCACGCGCTCAGTCCGCTGACCGCCAGCAGAGGGCCAGGCCCTCCGGACCCCTAAGCACGCTGCCCGACAACTCCAGCGGCTGGAGGCCGAGTGGCCGCACCCGGCCGGATTCCTTCCCAGGACAAGGGGCACATGAGTGCTCAGCACAGATGGTGGGCAAATGCCAGCGGCCCTCATTCTTGACTGGGGAAAGGGGCTGCTTTGAAGACAGAAACGAGCCCCCTGGAAAGAAGGGGGGCGAGAAGCAAATTCCCTAGAGCTCCCACCCCAGGATGAAACGCAGGGGGTGCTGCAGAATGCCCCCCCCCCGTCCCCTCTGGTGGCATCTTTCCTGCCTGCCTGAAGACAGTCGAGGGGCCAGGACTGGCGAGATGACCCTTTGCCCAAGCCGAACCCCGGGTCCCCTCCCTGCCCCCCCACCCACCTGTGCCGCGTTTCTGCAGGCGGAGACGCTTCAGGATCTCCTCGAACTTGGGGTGCTTGCTGAGGTGGGCCAGCTTGACGTGGACGCCGCCACGCAGGCCGGTGCCCAGGTTGGAGGGGCAGGTCAGGATGTAGCCCAGGTGCTCATTCCAGCTGAAGGGGTGGCCGTCCTGCTTGAAGATCTCCTCGATCTTTGGGGGGGGGGAGCAGAGGTCGGCAGGGGTTCGTGGCAAAGCAGGTGGCACCCACCTCTCTTTTTCTGCCCTCCCCCCAAAAGGGCTGTTTCTCCCAGGGGGGTCTTTATGCCACTGACGTGGGTGGGGAGCTCCGTCCCCCTCCCCAGCCCTTTGAGGTCGTGGCAGAGAGAGAGAGCAGGAGCAGCCGTGGTGGCNGCACGGTCACTTCAGGAAGCAGGGGGTCTCCATCTTAGCCCTTCAACTCCCAGGCTTGCTCAGCCGGCCCTGCTGGGAGTTGAGCCTCCCCCCTCCCCCCCGTCTTCAGGAGAGAAGCAGAAGCTGTTGCAGCTCAACAGGGCCAAGAGAGGCAGTGCCCCCCTCCCACAAGCCCCCTTGCCTTCTCCCGAGAGAGGGACCCAGCAGGGGCACAGGCTGCGTGGGAGGGCCCGCCCCAGGGCTCCCGGGTGGAGGGATCAGGGCCATTGGTCGCCTGGTGTCCAGAGACCAGGCAGGTGGTTAGCATCCCAAGGAGGACGGGGGTCACCTCAAGGGGCTGCAGGCTGCAGCGGGGGCTCCGGGGTCAAAGGCTAAACCTTCCTCCGGGCCCCACGTTCTCCTTGTTGGGGGCGAAGGATCTTGGCTTGCCCTGAGTGGTGCCCTCTGCGTCCTCCCCTCCCCGCAGCTCAGGTGCCAGCCGGGTGCCCCCGGCCTCCCCCTCCAGCCACAGCATCGCCACCTCCTCCTCCTCCTCCGACCGCAGCCGGCTCTCCCGCGGCACCAACATCCGCAGCACCTTCCACGGGGGCCAAGTGCGGGACCGGCGTGGCACCGGCGTGCAGAACGGGCCGCCCCCCTCGCCCACCCTCTCCCACGAAGCTCCCTCTCTGCCTCAGAGCCGCAGCCGGGCCACCTCCAACCTCTTCAGCAAACTGACCTCGAAGCTCACGCGGAGGTAAGCGGAGGCCGGGGGGGGAGCCGGGGGGGGGACCTGCAGCATCCAATCCCACCCCCACAGTTAGTTTGCGGAATTCAGGCCTTTCCTGGACTCCAGGCAGCACCTGAACCCCCTCCCTGCCCCCCCATCCCCGCAGATGAGATTCAGGCGGTCCTCGACCTACAACCACAATTGAGCCCGTGGTTTCCGTTGCTATGCAAAGCAGTTATTAAGTGAGCTTTGCCCCATTTTACAACTTTTCTCGCCATGGTTGTTAAATGAATCTTCCCCTTGACGTGGCTGGTCGGTGGGGGGCGGAGCAAAGGGGGGAGCGCGTGACCCTGCGGCCGTCTCAAACGATGGGATTTTGATCACAGGACCACGGGGATGCTGCATAAGTGTGGAAAACGGTTGTAAGTCCCTTCTTTCTGTGTCGTCGTAACTTTGAACAGTCACTAAAGTCTACCTCAAGGAAGAGCGGAGGGAGCCGACGGGGGAGGCCCCTTTCCCTGGCACTGCCGCCCGGGTGCCCGGCCTCCCCTGCAGCTCTTGGACAGCCGTGCCCGGCCCAGCAAGGGAAGGTGCCCGCCTGCAGTCAGTGCCTCTGCCCCACCAAGGGCCCCCCTATGCAGCCCCTCCCCTTGGGGACCCCCCTGAAGCCTCCCCCAGGTCCTTCCCAGCCTGCTCGGCCTTCCCTGGGCCTGCCATCCAGGGGAAACCAGGGGGTCTCTTCCCCCGCCCCCCACAAGTCCTCGCACAGCGGCAGCCACCCTGCGGGCGAAACAGGGAGGAACCTGCCGACAGTGAGACACCTGGCAGAGAGTCCCTGAGAGTTGGGGGGGGGGAAGGGTTTTTTTAAATACATTTTATAAACGGCATCCGGGTGATCCTTTCGTCTTCCCTGGGCCCAGCCAGGGGAGGGGGGAGCCCAAAGGCCAGGCGCCTTCTGCAACCCCTGCGGTGGGGGCTTCACCCCAGAGAGCCTGGCCGAGCCTTTGGAGCATGACTTCTGTGTGGGGCACGCATGGCTTCCCCCCTGGCGAGCCCTGGGTGGAGGGGCGGCTTCGTCCCAGCGCTGCTTAGCTGAAGGCGGCTGTGTCCCCAGGAGACCCTCCCGGGAGGGGAGAGAAGAGGAGAGGAGGGGCGGCTCTGGCCTACCCCCTCCCCAATCCCGGGAGAGGCGAGAGAGGAGGTGGGGCAGGGGGAAAGAGCTGGCTGAGAGAGGGGCTTCAGGCAGGGAGGTCAGAACAGAAGCCCCTTCCCCCAACCAGGGGCCTGGAAGCGAAGGGCCAAACTCCCAGGCAGCCCCATCCTCCGCGTGGGCCCTGCCAGGCCCTCGGAAGGGCTATGGGGCAGAAAGGGAGAAGGGCGGGGTCCTTGCAGGGACTGAGGGAGGAGCCAGAGCCCCAAGCGGGGGGGGGGGGTCTCTAATCTGGCAGAAAGAAGGGCCAGCAGCTGCCCAGCGCAGGCAGGACCTTTAGGTGCAGATGGGCAGGATTCGCACTCCTGGCTGCGGGCTGGCTGAGTGAAGAAAAGGAGGGAGGTTCACTTTTGGGGGGGCTCAGCTGGAGGAGCCTCTGGGGGGGGGGGGCTCTGATGCAGTCCCACCCCCAAAAACCAGCTGGAAGAAGCTTCTCCCTGCACAACCTGGACTCTACCTCCCCCCCCACCCCCACCCGGAGCGTTTGCAGCCACTGAGGCAGGACTGAGGCCCCCTCCCCACTAACCTCTCTTGCTCTGCCCCCCCCGCCCTCTGCACCCCCTTCACTCTGGCTTCTCTCTGTTTTCAGGGTCACTCTTGACCCCTCTAAGCGGCAGAATTCTAACAGGTGCGTCTCGGGTGCTTCAGTGCCTCAAGGATCTAAAATCAGTAANGGGGGGGGGCTCCTTCCGAGGGAGTCAGGGCCCCTGCTGGGGGCTCCCTCCCAGCCATCCCAGGGGGGGGGCTCTGAATGGCCGCTGGTTTCCCCTCACAAAAGCTGGGCCTGGCCGAGACCCTCCAGAAGGCTCTGGGTACTCAAAGACTGACCACCCCCTCAAAAACCCCATAAAGTAAAGACAGTATCTGCAATTGGACAAGGAAGGGAAAGGGGCAAAGACCCATCCACAGAAGCAAACTCTCCGCCACAGTCTCCCCCACCACCCACCACCCATCCTCCTGCCCTCAGTGGAAGAGCCAGGGTGAATCCCGAGGGGGTAGGGGGGCATTCCGGAGCACAGGAGAGGAAGTGAGGAAAGACTCCCCACAGAGCCAGAGAAGGGCCCAGCCCCAGGGACAGCCAGGACAGCTCCCAGCTCTGCTCGCCACGGGGGGTCCTGCCTTGTGGGGGTGTGGGGAGAGGGGTGCCTGTGGATTTCTCTGTTGAATTGAATAGGGGGTCCATGCCCCCCCCACTCCATGGAGCCACTGAGGCTTCAGCCCAGCTGATTCAGGGCCCGGCCATTGCAAGGCCCCACCCTGGCAGCCCCACTGATTTCCTGCGTTGTATTTTCTGAAGGTGGCTATCAAAATAATTGACAAGACGCAGCTCAATCCTACAAGTCTCCAGAAGGTGAGCAGATGTTGGTGAGGGGGGGCAAGGGGGGGGGCTTCATAGCCCAGCTGCCAACTGCCTCCCTTTCCAAGGGACTTGGGGGGGGGCACGGAGGGAGGAGTGGCAGGGCCTCCTCTGCTCAGAAAAGTCCCTGCAGCCCCTCTGCAGGGCTAAGCAGCCCCTTCCCCACCCTCTGAGTGAGCCCTCAGCCTGGGCAATGTGGGTTGAGATCCCCCTTCCTCGGCTCCCTGCCTTTCCTGCCAGCAATGGGGGGGGGAGATTGCTCCCCATTGCCCCCCTCCCTAATTACAGCTCAAAGCCTAAGCTGGTCGCTGTGGAAACCCGGCTCCTGCCAGCCTCCCACTGGGGAGGGGGAGGGGTGGGCCTCCTAATTAGTGGCTGGATCCTCCAGGACAAATGAGTTTCAGGGAAAGGGGGGGGCGACTTGTAAAGGCTGCCTGCCCCCCTTCACAGTGGCCATTGGTTCAGCTGCTGCCCCTTTGGGGAATCCAGGTCTCTTGGGGGAGGGCAAGCCCCCATATCAGTGGCCAAGGGGGGGTCCGTGGTAGCCCTGAAGGGAATGTGGGGTCTATGAGTGGCTGAGTGGGGGGGGCATTGGAAAGCGCCCTTCAGCTGCAGAGAACCCCCCCCCCCTCTTGGAAGAGGGTCTTCACTAGGAGAGAAGGAAGAGCCGGAAGGGATCGAAGGGAAAGGAAGCAGACAGCCAGACAGGGATATGGTTATTCATTATAATTTAATTATGCAAAATCTGCTTTGGGAGATACTCTTGAAAGGAGGGGTGATTATTAATCACGGTTAATCAATTAAACGCCATTCAACCCCCAGCGCAGCTTGCCAAGACGGCCAGAGCCCATTCAGGCCCATTCAGGCCCAGTCCCTTCATCCACGATCTGCAGATCGAAGCCAAGGGCCGTTCCCAGACCCTCCAGCAAAGAGCTCCAGCAAGTGAGCCAAGCTGCACGCACACAATATACGGCCAGAGGAAAGGCTGCCTGGGACCGGAGTGAAAAGGGAGGCTTAATGGGACCCGGAATCCTTAATGGGGTGCCTGACCTTGCACAGCTCATGGCAAACCCCCCCACCAGGCATTTTTTTAATGTAGTGTTCTCATTTAATGCCAAGGCCCAGGGAGAAAGAAAAGAAAGAAAGAAAGAAAGAAAGAAAGAAAGAAAGAAAGAAAGAAAGAAAGAAAGAAAGAAAGAAAGAAAGAAAGAGGAGATCTAAAGAGGAAGCGCTAAAAGGCATCCCAATACCCCTCTCCAGCACAAGGTCTCTAGAAAATCCTTCTCCTCTTAAAGAACGGGGGATCTCTTGATCCCTTCTTCCTCTGCACCCATCAAGAGAACCTTTGGCCGGACTGAGATTTTCCTTCCAGCCCAACATTCTTCGGGTCCATACTTCGGGTCCATACTAAGCAGCCCCCCCCCTTCCTGCCCCCCAAACTCACATCTCCTGCCAGGGCCGTGTCACGTATACAGCTCGTCCATTCATTCTACAGGAACACTGGAAAAAAAGGAAAAACAGCACAATAAGGATTTATGGAGAGGGGGGGGGAGGCTGGTGAAGGAAGGGAAGGTCCTATTTTCCTTTTGCCAGCCGTCCTTTTTACAGAAACATCCTTGTTTGGGGGGACTTTAAAACCGGTCTGCCTTTGGGAGGGGGGGGGTTGGTGGTTGGAGAGAAAAATGTGATGCTGTGACCTTTGGAGAGGGGTCAGCTAACTCCTGTTTGGGGCATTTTTGCAGCTCTTCAGAGAAGTCAGGATCATGAAGGGACTGAATCACCCCAATATCGGTAAGAAAAAGAAGCCCCCTCCCACCAGGAAGTCGTGCTCTCAGCAGCTGAAGGGGTCAGGGGAGGCTGGGGTCAAATGGGGCCCCTCCCTTGCCGGAGATAGGAAGGGGGGCTCAGAGGGCGCCATGTTGCAAAAGTTTGCTAGATAAAAGTGGTGACGGTCAGAAAAAGGACCCTCCCCGTAAGAAATGAGCAGAATCTGGGATGGAGGCAAAGTTTTGAGGAGCAGGGACTGCTGTGGGATGCCCCCCCCCGCAAGGCTTTGTGCTCCCCCAGGAAGGATCGCTGCAGAATCGCCAGTGGCAGTGCCCACTTGTTGTCTTGCCACCCAGAATTTTAACTCTCCCAGTTTCGCCCAGTGTGGCCCCACGTAAAACAAAATATTCTTCCCTTAAAAGGGTCCCACGAGGTTTGTGGTGGTGATGGGGGGGAGAGGGGGCAGGAGGGGCAGCCTCCCCTGGAGGGCAGCTCCTTGGCGGGGAGCCTGACGGGGCTTCTGGCTCTTTGCGCAGTGAAACTCTTCGAGGTGATTGAGACGGAGAAGACCCTCTACCTGGTGATGGAGTATGCCAGTGCCGGTAAGCCTCGCCTGCCCTTCCTGGCTGGAAAGTGCCGCTTCCGTCCAGTGGTTTCCTCTCCAGAGCCTTCCAGCTGTGTCTCTCTGCAAAGCAGCTGCAGGGAGGCCAGGTTTTTTTTGGGGGGGGAACCAAGCAACAAGCCCCCCACTAAGGCAAAGGGCAGCATCTTCATGGAAGGGTCCCAAGCCGCCACTGCCTGCTACCTGAAGTGGGGAGGGGGGGGCTCCCCCTTGACTGCAGTTTGACTCTCCCGTAGCTGTTTAAAATGAGCCCCACTCCGTTCAAGAGGTCTGCAGCCCCCAGACCCTCCCAGGAGCTGCCCTCCTGGCCCCCCAGGCCCCTTCTGGGTGAAGCATCAGTGGAAGAGAAGATTTTCAGCTCACAGTTTTACTGGGGGGTCTTTGGTGGGCTCAGAACTCTTTTCCTGCAGGTATTTCATGACCCAACTGGGTAACCTCGTCAGGGCCACTCAGGAGAGGGCTTTGCAGGGTAGAGGCGAAGGAAGAGGGGAGGAAGAGGAGGAAGAGGGGAGGATCCTTGGTGCTCTCTGAACTTGGTGGCTTCCTTGCAGGCATTTCATGGCCAAACGAGGGAGCATCATCAGTTCACTCTGAGCTTGGCTGATGACGTTCCCTAGTTTGGTCGTGAAATGTCTGCAAGGAAGCCACCAAGTTCAAAGGGCCCCACAGGTATGGCCGCCTGGGGGAGGGGCTCTTCCCCCTTTAGACTGCAGGGAGGTTGGGGGGGCATGTGCCCCTCCAGGAAAGGCCATCGCCTGCACTGGTTTCTAAGGGCGACGGAACTCTGCGCGTGGAGGCAGCGGAAGGAGCCTCGCCCACCAGGCATCTCTGGCGCCCCAGCCGTCCCCGCCTGACCCCGATTTGTGCTGACAAGCTGAGCCATTTCCCCGCTCTCTCAGGCCAACTGGCACCTGCCCACCCAGTACCTGGGCAAGCTCTTCCTGGCAGATCTCCAGGAACAGCTGCAAGGGCATCCTGCCCTCCCCTGGCCCCGATGGGTTCAGATGTCCGTGGCACCCACCCTCGGCTTCATCCTCCCTTCAGCCTTCCCGGCATCCCGGCTGCCCTCGCTCACCTGTCCTTCCTCTCTCCGCGCAGGAGAAGTTTTCGATTACCTGGTTTCCCACGGCCGCATGAAGGAGAAAGAAGCGCGAGCCAAGTTCAGACAGGTTGGGCCTCACGCAGCCACCGAGAATCCCCGCTCTTGGGGCTCAGGGGTGCCCATAGGACCTAGCTGGGTGGTCAAGCATTTCTGGCCGCCTGGCAGAGTCCGCTTGGGTCCCTTCACCCTGCTGGGCAAATGGGCGCATCTGGCATGGGGGGCCGGGGGGGGGGGTTAAGAAAGACTCCCTCCTCCACCGGGCTCTCACCTGGGCAAGGAACCTGGGGCATAAGGACCGGTTCACCTGCTTTGCCTGGAAGGGGGCTGTGGAGGGGCTGGAGGGGTCAAGCGGGGGGCTTGCACTCTAGCCAGGACCCTCCTCTTCACCCCTAGATTGTCTCAGCTGTGCATTACTGTCACCAGAAGAATATTGTACACAGAGACCTGAAGGTGAGGAGTTTCAACGCTGCTCCCATCTCCCCCCCCCCGAATTCCTCTCCTTGTATGGGGGCAAAGGTTCAGCCCCCCCAAAGCTTTCCCCGAGTGGCTGGATCTTGTGTGCTGCCACCCATCCAGTGGGGAGAGTTTGCGCGAGGTCAGTGGAGGAGCTGGAAGAAGCATGGAAAGGGGGCTTTGGGCAGCTTCTCACTGGACTTCGGGTGCTGGTTCCCCAAAGCTTCTTGGGCCTGGGGGCTGCAGCAAGACTTTACCCCCACTCCCACCTCCTCTCCCCCAGGCGGAGAACCTGCTGCTGGATGCGGACGCCAACATTAAAATAGCTGACTTTGGCTTCAGCAACGAATTCACGCTCGGCTCCAAGCTGGACACCTTCTGTGGGAGCCCCCCCTACGCCGCCCCAGAGCTCTTCCAGGGCAAGAAGTACGATGGGCCGGAGGTGGACATCTGGAGCCTGGGGGTCATCCTGTACACCCTGGTCAGCGGCTCTTTGCCTTTCGATGGGCAGAACCTCAAGGTGAGGCTGTGGGGCAGGGGTTTTGGGGCGCAGAGGGAGGGGCAGGGCTGGGTCCCAGTTGTAAGGAGGGGAGCACGAGGTCACCAAAGGGCTGGCTGGGATGCTTGGGGGGAGGCTGTGCATGATGGGTTCTTTGCTCTGGAGCCAATCAGGAAAAGGGCACCTGGGCATCCGGCGTCTCCCCCTGGGAGTTCGGCTTTCCCCTTCTGTGCCTCTGGCTGCTTCTTTATTTCTTTATTTTATGAATTGCCTCTCTGTGCAAAGACTTCTCTCCCCACTATGCGCTGATGCCCAAGGCCAGAAGTTGCAAAGGCCGGTTCCCGCCAGAGGAACGAGTGGCTGGCATCTTCCAGGCACATGGCTACCTTGGCATGAGCCCTCTGGCGCCCTTGGCCAGGCAGCGCTGCCCCCCAGAAGACNGGGGAGAGGTTTACCCTCCGCACCTCCTCAGCTTCCACCCCCAAACACACACCCCCGGGCTCTCCCACTGGGGCGCCTTCCGGATGGGCGCCAGGAATGTTGGGGGCAGTAGCCCCAATCCCCCCCCGGAGGAGCGGCGGGGCTAGCGCCACCTGGTGGATCAGCGGGGGAGCCTCCTGGCGGGACCCCGGGCGGCGCTGCCTTCAACCGGCCAATGGGGGCGGAGCTTTCGGGCAAACGGGGCAGCTGAGCTCCTCCAAAGTTTGGGTGGAGACCCCCAATTCTGGGCAAATTCTTACCTTTGATGGACAGCTTCTCTATGGCCCGGCGCTCGGCCCGGCTGCAGTGGGGGGGCAGGGTGTAGCCCTTGATGCTACGGCCGGTCCTCACGCGGCTGCTGAGCACGTAGTTGGGGTCCAGATCATCACCGCCCTGCGGGGAAGGAGAGCCGGGGGTCCTCTCTCTGCCCTGGCTGACCAGCCCCACGCCCAGCCCCTTGAGGGAACCCTGCAATCTCCCAGACACCCCCGCAGGAACGCCTGGGAGGCACCTGCCTGGGCTACACGGAGTCTCTCTCACACACACACATACACTTTGGTCTTTGCGCCCTTCAACGGCAAGGGCTTCCCCTAAGTTCCTCCCCCTCCCCAGCAAAGCAAGCCCCGCCCCCGCCTGCACCTTCAGGTTTTCGTGGTTCAGGTCGGTCTTGTGCTTGTCGGTGGGCTTGTAGCCTCCGTGGCGGTCATGGATGACCACGTCGAAAAGCTCTTTGAAGGTGTGATAGCATTCTTCGTCACCAGCCACGCAGCCCACCGTCATGATGAAGGGGTGACCTGCAAGGACAGGGGGCTTCAGCGGGGAGGAGACCCAGCCCCCCCCCTCCGAAAGACGAGGGGCCGGCACACCTGGAGGCCTCCGCTCACCCCTGCCTGGTTCTCTCGGCTGCCCCAAACACATTTGGGACCAGGCTGGGGCAGAGGGGTGGGGTAGAGGGGGGGGCTTGCCCACTAACCCCCAGCAGAATGTCTGGCAGGGGTCAGTTGAAGGCCAGCCGGATTCCACCCCCAGAGGCTGCCCAGGCCGATGCATTTGGCCCCCTTGGACCCTGGTGGCATCTGGCAAACCTAGTTTAGCAACGCTTCTTTCCAGGCAGGCCTTCGCCTCCCCGTTTGTTCCACTCCAAAATGTTTACAAATTCCAAGGAGTAAATTAAAACCAAAACAAAATCTCCCAGAATTCCCCTGCCAGCAGAGCGATTCATAGTGAACATCTACAGCACTGTTTCTCAACCTTGGCAACTTGAAGATGTCCGGACTTCAACTCCCAGAATTCCCCAGCCAGCGCAGCTGCGCTGGCTGGGGG